AACTTTTCATACCAAATTACGTTAAGACGATGATTTAGGAAATCTGATTTTAATCCAAAACAAACAGGGTTTCAGGTTTTATTTGATTAAAAAGTCATTTATAAGATTAAAAAGTTATTTTCGAATACGTTTAAATAATTTTCTAAAATTGTTTTATCTGATTAGAAGAGTTTGAGACGAAGGTGATCTAGAAATAACTTTTTCAAAAAATTCTTCTACGAAAAGTATAAACAAACAAAAGTCCAATGAAACGGACCTTTTAATGTGGACTAATTCATCTACCGACATGTCAAAAAATGTGAATTATTTAAGGTTTATTAGTAATTTGAAACACGTCGCTTTCAAATTTCTCTACTTTAAATATAACAAAATACATGATATAAAAAACAATAGACAAGAAAAATATAAACCTCGGTCCTCGACTATTATAGGACCTATTTAAAACATTCTCCTAAACATTATTATTCTCTATCGATTTTTTTTTTATTTTTTGATAGAAATACAATTATTTCTATACCTCCTTCCTTTTCAATAGGTGTCATCCACATGCCCTGTTTTTAGGATTTCATACGAGAATTTAATAAAAAAGTATAATGACTATGAAGATTGAAAAACTTGTATGTTGTCTTGTTGAATTAACATTGTTATTTTTTCTTTAAATTACGAATAAATTTGGTCTAATTTACTAATAATCCAATGAAAAGTAGAAACCTTAGAGGGACTATACATGACCTCCGTATAAAAAATAAAAAAAATTAATTTTCATGTGGACAAGTATGCACAAATATGTCAGAGAGTTCATCTCACTACGAATTTCGGTTTCCATTACGTCAAATAGATCTTGAAGGCATGCTCTGGCATCCGTCCACTATAGGAATGATACGACATGAAGCTCTACATGGTAGTTGTAGGGGGTGTCACACCTAGAATATAGATCACTTTTTCAACTACATCTCGAAAGTTGATCCCACTTGACTTGACGATTCTTAGTGGCCGTTTGGTCCCATTGTTCCATATTCTATTGAGAGGAATAATAATTTTTTGAAAAACGTGTAATTTAAAAAAAGGAAAAAATTTAGATTCCAATGTAATATTATTCTATTATTTTGGCACAAATCTTTTTACATCTAGAGAAGCCACCTCACCCTTTGGAATTTTATACGCTAGCTTTCAACCACCATTGGTGGTCCAAAAAACTCAATTTTCCTTTCATCTCCTTCTATTCACTTTCTTTAGCCACATTTCGAGTCTATAATCAGTGGTGTCGCGTGGGTGAAGTCTTCAATGGGTGGATGAATCAGCTTCTTCGTGCGGGTGAAAATGTTGCTTCTTTTTCGCGTCGGTAAATTGTTGGTTTTGAGAAGGTCTAGGATTTCTCTGTGCCTCAGTTGGTTTTGGGGCTTTCGGGGGGTTTTAGGGTGTAATTATGACCGTTATTAGAGGTTTTAATTTGTTTAAATGTATAAATCTAATTTGCTAATTTTTTAGAGTAGTGGACCTAATTTATCCGACGGGAGCACGTTAAGCCCACTAACTATAACGTTGGTATGCTTAGAAAAGGCCAAACGGGCTTCATCAGTTAATCCCACATTAACCGAAGCCCCATGAATTGGGCTAGAAATAAGCCCAATAGATGTACATATTTCAGCCCATTATCTTCGAAGTAGTTCGTCTCGAAAGATCGTTTGATCGACGGACCAGTGTGTTGCTAAATTCAACTTTAACTAGTTATCTAAATACGATACATTAATTTCATCTGAAGCTTCATAGGAGTATTTGGCTGGCTCCCCCAAAGTAGAAGAGATCGTGGCTATGGCTCAACGGTAGCTATTTGAAGAAACACAACAAAGCTACTTAAATGTTCAAAGGGCTGGGTCTTCCCCGTCCCTCCGCCTCTGGCTGGCTCTCACACCTTCAACAATGAAAAGAGAGTTGCCGAATTCCTTAATGTAAGTAACAAAAAGGCACTCGCTCGATTTTCTTTATGCTATTATCTTTGTGATATGGATAATGATATGGCCTTCACTTGGTTTTTTTTTTTTTACAATGGGCTCCCAAGGATAGAGAAGGGAAAATGAAAATGAAACATAGCTATTGAATAATATAAGAAAAATGAAGGCATCAAATGAAGAAAATAAGCATATTAAAACAAAATCCAACTAATAAATGATTTCGAACTCTAATCTTCAACAATA